AGAATGTCGAGGTCCTCTTGGACCCTACTTGGAACCGAAGCCGGTAGAAAAGCAGCGGTGCCGACCAAACTAGTCTTGGAATGCTTCCAGGTCACGACAGGTTATCACTGGCGTCAGCGAGACCCTGAAGGGGTCGTGAGGTTCAGCTTTTATTCTGAAGGAACCGTTGCGGTCAGGTGTAACTTGCAACAGATTTTATCCAGCTTGTCGAGGTTCTTTTGGCTGAAGAGGAAGTCCGGATGGCCTGTCCGAGACTTCTCTAGAACGCTTTGAACTAAAGAAAAGGTGGCGTGGAATAGTTTTTATAATTGTCATATTTTGGTTTACTGGCGAATCAGAATTTGACATGCAAAAGAGGGTTTATACAAACACCACAGAAAACCACGCCTCGTGTCAGAAATGAAGGTTCTGATTGGATCAGACAAAAGGAAATATGTCGTGTGACTTTAGCATTGCGTATCATCAGTGTCTAGTGCAAATGTCCAGGATTATAATTACTTGTAAAATACTACTGATCACAGGATTATAATATCAAGTAATAACATTGTCATTTCACAGATTGATTGAACATTGGGCTCACATTATTATTGGTAATTACCAAGTTGTTTGATTATGTATTTATCAAGAGAGAGTTCTTCGTCTTCGTCTTGAGCTGTAACAGAGGTGAAGCAGTTCAGATGAGCAGAGTGCATGAAAGACCTTGGCCAATATCTCATGTAGATTAGGCCTGTGTCAGAGACTTTATGTCTCTGCTCGAGCAGACGCAGCAGATCATGGCCTTCAGGTCAAAAACAGGACATTCATGACGCTACAGGATGAAGATAAATGCAGCAGCTAGGTAGTCTGGACAGTTAGGTGCACTTTATGGATTCTTCTGTATAATTCTTCATTTGCATTCCTGGGTGTGATGAGAGAATGATGGTATTTGTCTCAGGAAAAGCTGAAAGTGACTAAATAATGCACACTCTCTGAAAAACCTTCTCCAGGAGTGTTTATTTTAACCTGCAGGTCAAAGTGAGCTGAACCTTAAATGCTGCAGAAGCTTTTCCATTTTACATCCAGGGATGTGTGTGGCTCTACTCGCCCTCTGCGGGTTCCCACTTCAGATCTTCTTCTCTGCCTGAGCCTTTGTCTCTCTGTGTTTCTCCTCTCTCACATCCACCTTTTTGTTTCCCTCCATCTTCTCATCTGCATCCTCTCCTTCCTGTCTTCTGTCTCTTTGTAATAAGGAGTTTTTCTTCTCTTTTGTGTCTTCAAGAAACTTCCAGCATGTTGCCGCCTTCGCTCCGTGCCCCCCTTTTGAGTGGCCCTGTTGCTCCGTCTCTTTAGAACAGCGTGCCATCTGTTAGCGGTGTCCAACATGGCTGCGACACCGTGCCTTTAAATTGATCTCAGCAGCGTTCAGTCCAAGACAAGCCTGGGAGCCAGAGGGAGAGCAATCTGCCGTCTCCCTCGAGAGATGCTCGAAGGTGCAAATGAGACAGTTTACTCTGCACCGAGACCTTTGTTGGTCCTGGTGGCCAGTGCTTCTGAATTCAATCATTTCTAATACTAGTGCAAGTTTCTCATCATAGGGGGGGTGTTTTTCCTAGACCCAGTCAAAGTTTTGACTGATATTAGGGATGCATTTGTCTTTGACACAGTCAGACCAATAGCCTACTTCCTGGTCCTAATTCAGCTTATTCTTCAGTCTGACTAACAGCAGTCCCACTAGTTTGACCAAACCAAACATGTGTCATCAAAGTCATACCTCTGCTTTAAGGAAATTTAAATGTCTAGAAAAGAAAACTGAAATGATGGAATCAAAGAAACAACTAAACATAAAGAGCAAGTTCACTGAGAACCCGTTTCTTATATTTTTATTTTATTATTATTTTCTGAATATGATGCGCGCTAAATGATAAAATAGTATTCTACCCCTGTTTCCTGCATTGACCACTGATAGAAAATATGGGGGAATTCTCTACAAATGAAAGTCATTGCATGTGTCATTTAAAATTAGTATTCATGGACTCACCATCTTGGTTTGCAACGAGGAACCATGTGTTGATTCAACATCCAGAAAACAGCAGAGAACTACTAGTAGAAGCTCACCGTTAGCATTAGCAACTCCACAACATGGCAGAACTCCTTCAGACTTGTGGTTAAGAAAAAACATCATCATTGCAGAGCAAACAGAGTCAGTGATAGAGTTGTGCTGCTGTTACCCAATCAGAGGCAAGATTTCCGATTATCAGGAAATAAGTCTCCAAAACCTGCTATCTTCTACTCACCTGGCTTCTAGCTCCTGAAACATGAGTGCCACAGCTTTTTACCCATAGAGGTCAACACACAAGGCATTCATTTACACTAGAGACCACTGCAGATGTATTGAAAAAGTGAATGAACTTGGTCTTTAAATGTGCATTTTACAGTAGTGCTGTCAAACTGTGACATCATAGTTTTGTGTCTGAGATCAACAAGCTTGTCGATGACCCCAGAGAATGAAAATCAACAGACCTGCCCAGAGCCAGATGCTGCCTTTTCGGCACTTCCTGTTTGAAGAAATTGTTTGTTTTTGAGTTCTGCCCTCAGCCTGAGCCCAGGAAGTTGTAGACAGATGCTTCTAGATTGAGCCATGGTGCCTTAAGCAAGCTGTCACCTAAATAACATCCCACTGCTGTCTGTTCTCAGCTGTTAGGGTGAACAAGCTGGAGAGCCTTACTTATGATGCCTCGATGCTGAGCCAGTTCAGACTTGGGATGGAGTTTTGTCAGCATAGAAAGAGACAGACTGAGATATTTCCCTCTGTGTTTTTCCCATGCACATATGGATTCTGTAGCGTTGTGCACATTGTTGATCCACTCTGCATTGGGTATTATTCTGCTTGTCTACATTTGTGACAGTAAGCATTTACAAAGATGACAAGCATCCTCTCCTCACCGGGCTGACTTCCTATACCTGTTTATATTCATATATTTTTAGGATCCTTTGGAGTGCACATAAACCCAGCTGCTTTCCAACGAAAGTTGAAACAATATAGTTGTAGCATTTTGGTCAAATCTGACAAACATAGTGATGCATGATCTCACGCTACATCACAGTACTGATTGTGAATAACTCTGTCACATACAGTACTACCCCAAACTATTCTAGTACAATATCTGTTAAAATGTTTTAGTTTTAGTCTTTTGTGTGTTGATTAAGACTAACAGACTGCAACTGCCATCCTAACCATGTTGACTCCATCAAACTGGTGCCAAGGCTGTAAAGCAACAAACCGGATAGACAATTTTCTTCATCTGTGTTGGTAGGGATGACTCTTCGCTGTTACCAGACAAAATCCTAGCTCAATATTTGTAGAACTGACTGTGTTTAAGTCTTTTTTGTGCATTCAAAGGGCAAATGGTTGTCGTGGCCATCTTGATTTGGATTTACTCCACTCTTACTAACACTCTGGCACTTTTATTTAAATGAATTTGGCAGTTCATGAAACAGACATACCGTAAATCCTCTAATAGTGGCCTGTATTCAATTAACTGCCGGGTATCACATTTTGGCCGGTGTCGGAGTCGGTAGAGGTGAATAATGGCCGGTTTTTTATTGTTGCCGGGTGGAATGTGGTAACAAGCAAGTACGGGGGGCGGTTGTGTCATCCGTCTCACTTTTGATTTGCCAGTGATAGACCGCGAGGGTAACTTTAACCGTGCGGAGATGAAGCGGAGGCGAAAATTTGATATCAAGTTCAAACAGAACGTGTTGATTATGCTGCAGAACACTCTGGGGAGCAGTAGGGGTTGTATGAACTAGTCACTAGTCGACTTCACTGCTCTATAGTGACTTTTTATGCCTGTCATCGACTAGTCGCTGTCACGTGATAATGACCGGCAAGATGCAGTCCACGGAAAAGACAGCAGCCTGCTGTCAGCAGGTGACAAGCTCCTGCGCGTCGGGAGGCAACGCGCTGTGCCAGAGCGTCGGTACTGACACCCGCCGTAAAACAGACATTTAACCAAATTGTGACCTTTACCCTCTTGCAATTTAACCTTCCCCTCACCCCCATCCTAACCTTAACCAGCTTGTGCATGCAAAGCTCTGATTGTTGATGCGCTCCACACATCTGCGTCCTGAACACGTCCACAGTAACATTATCAAATCAGGTGTCGCCACCTCAAAAACTTATTTAACACGCGATCGTTCATGTCGGCTCATTTCCTTTTATGTTTTCTGTCTTTTATTCTTTTATTTGTGCCTGATGCTTTTCGCTGCTGTGGAGCGGGGCGCATCACCTGTTTTGTCCTCGGTGACGCACCGATCACTGATGCGGCCGCCAAGCAGCGAGCACTCTGCTGTTTTTGCGGTCGGTAGATCTTTTAGAACTGCAGTTCATAGGTAACTCATAAGGTGAATATATATGAAGCCAGGTAGCAGTTTTTCTTTAGGATTGAGAGGAGATGCAGGAAGATAATAAACAGACAGGACAGAAAAATCGTCAAATAAAAACAAGTTAGTTTTTGTACCTGGTGGTTGCAACAAACAGACACCATTGAAGGTAATCAGAAGTGAGGAACAGAAAATGAAATTATTTTAATGTTTAGAGCAGCAGGAACTCTGAGAGGCTGCAGGTGCATCAGTGAGTTTGCGGCCGCTGCGCAGGGGGAGGGGGGAGATGGCTGAAGCAGAAACTACCGTTGTTAAAAGAAATGTGTTTAACTTTAAAAATGTGGGCGCAATTTTAATTGTCGGAAACTCCAGCGAACCATTAGTTCATTTTGCTCAAGTAGAAATTGAGGCCTGCCTCTAATTCTGGCCCTCCTTCCAATAAAGGCCTGAAGCTTGATGAGCTTGAGTAAAATACAGGCCCGGGCCTGTATTAGAGGATTTACGGTAGATGCAAGCACTTTCAGGCGAGAGATGTCTGCTTGCAAAGTGTTATTTCTACTCAACTCTCTCACAGATGTGTTCTTTTCATTCAAACTATTTTATGTTAAATCTAAAAGTTTTGTGTGTGTGTCTTCCAGGCGACAGTAACCCCAAGGAGAGCAGCCCCTTCATCAACAGCAGTGATGCCGCTGCAGAAAAGAGCCAACAATACGATGGAAAGAACATGGCCTTGTTTGAGGTACAGTCTAAAACACACGCGTGCACACACACACACACACACACACACACACACACACACACACACACACACACACACACACACAAAACCAAATAAATGAGGTATACTCTTTTTCATGAGTGAATCTGGTGATTGAATAAGGGCCCTGACATCGATTAATGAGGGTAATTATGGTGTGAAGGGCATGCAGGGACCGGGACTTTTTGCAAACAGATCTCATTCTGTTGCAGGAAAAAATAACTTTAACAAAACAATTTGCCTCAGCTTTGCACAAACATATTTACATAGTATGCTCTGTGGGATTTCTAGATTGAAAGAGAAAAACATTTTGTTGTGTGGACACTTTTGTTTTCGTTCTTGTTCATTGGTGTCAAGAGTTTGAGGTAACAGTATGAAAAAATCTCTTTCAGTACATCAGATGATCTAAGGAACCTTTGTGAGTTCAAATGGCAGGTTGGGGAAGTTCTTAATGATGCATCTGTCGGCATCTCTGCAGGAGGAGATGGACACCAGTCCCATGGTCTCGTCTCTTCTCAGCAGCCTGGCCAACTACTCCAATCTGCCTCAAGGTAGCAAGGAACACGAGGAGGCAGAGAACAATGAGGCTGAGTCAGCACGCAAGAAACCAGTCAAGGTATTTAAAATCCTTTTCCTTATACGTATTTTACTAGTTTCTGACCAGTGCAGGTTGGAAGCTGCCACTGTGAAAGTGCATTTTCAAGGGCAGAACGTCAACTTGTTTCCTAATAGACCCTTCTGAGAGCCGTTTTAACCTTACGGGTCTGATTATCAGATATCTGCTAAAACAGGAAGTGTTTTCAGCGAATGCAGTAAAAATAATTTAAAGTCTAGGAAAAACTCATTTCCAGACTCTCATGTAATTCTCATCAACACTAAGATGTTCATCAGTTTATTAAGAAAAATGAACCTATTTAAAGCCAGCCTTTTGTTTCTCACCATCAGCTCTGCAGCTTATCAAAGGAGTGTAATGTTTCTGCAGTGCAGTAGTGATGAATCATGGACGAATGATAGTATGAGCTGCTAAACAGATAAGAGAATTGTTCTGATGTTTAAAGTTGTCTTCAATTAAAGGCCAGCCATTTGTTATGAGACATTATTTTCTCCTTAAACAAATCTACTGCATCAATCTACCTCTCTGCTGAGTCTGAAGCCGCGTTCGTCACGACTTCTGCAGGATTCACTTTTAGAGCGGTAATGCTATTGGGAGAACCTGCTCTGCTAGAAAGGATTGTTCATTTATTCTTGTTGCTTCATGGACGGTCATTAAGCTTTGCCAAGTATAGGTTTGCATATTACATAAGTTAAGATAATGAAACCAGAAAGCTAGGTTTCTTTGCGTTGTGTGAAAACATTGATTGGAGCTCCAGTTAAAACTGATCCAGCTGAGAACTTGTCAGTCATTTTCAGTTGATATTAAAAAATTCCAGCTACTGGGTTTGCTTCCTAAAGGCCACTCGCTAATGAGTTCCTTGCACATCGTCCCTGGGTATTTTCCGCTCTCAGCTGTTGACGCCAACAGGAAGGGGTTCAACACTTGATAAACATTGAGTGAACATTTTTCTGTCTTAGAGGACATTATGATTCTGAATATTTGTAAATGTAATTTATGCAGAAACAATAAGCCGTGTAAATGCAAATAAAGATGGATGGTAAATCTGAGTGACAGGCCATAACCTCCAGAAGTTTGTGACTTCAGAGGCAGCTCGTGGGATGTGAGACACACTACAGGTATTAAAATCCACAGCAGTGACAGGTTGACAGCTTTTCTTTGACCTTTGATGCATCTGTCTTACCGGGTGTCTAATCAGTCTGATGTTCTTCTTCACTTTCTGCTTTTGTTCCTTTTTTGTATCTGTCACTTTTCCACTCCTCTCTGTACTTTTTGTCCTGAGTCACAGGCACTCTGCATTTATTTTTTACGTTTTTTGTATAGTAAATCACAGATGATGATCCAGGTGGTCTGTCTACAGTATCAGATTCTGTCCCCAGATTAATCCAGCAGAAACACAGTCTCAGGTGACAGAAGAGGAAGGACATGTAGGCATTACTGGCTTCTACAATATTTATGAATTGTTCAAAAGAACGATTTGCTCAGATTTTCTTGCTCATAAAAATATATTTCATTCAGTGGCAGTCGGATCCAGGATTTTCTGATTATGAGGCCAACAAGTGGTGGCAATATTTATAGAGAGGTCAATTATTAGTCCAATGTCCTTTCACAAGATTTAACACTGGAAATTCCTGTTTTGCTTTTTAGTGCCACTACTGTTTGGATTTGCAATTGCACCCACCTATAATCTGATCACCATTTTCAGAGAGCCAATCAGATTTCAGAAGGGGGCAACGCTCCTATGGCCCCGCCCCTACAACCACCAATGAATTTACACGTTCCTCTAAAGATTTCAGCCTCATCAGTAAAGAATTTGCTTATCATTAATGAAGATTGCAAAAAAAATAAATAAAAATAAGAGAGTAAAATATCTGAAGCATTCAGGAGAATGTAAATAGGTAAAAAGTGTTTAATATTCCATGGCTAATCGAATAAAAACACGTCTACTAGTTTCAGCTACACTGGCCTTCGTCAGAAGCACTTAATACACGTTGATATATTTTTACCTGATTAATGAAGATTGTCAAAATAAAATATGCTGTAAAACAGTATTTTCAAAATAGTATTTAGCTGGCAGTATGATTTTTTATTGGAAACCACAGGTTTGATTAGTTAGCACAACATTTTCTGAACTTTGCCATTTCACCTACTGATGTGTGTGTAGCCTATGTGTGTGTTGAGTGTGCATGTTGTAGTTGAAGGAAAGAAACAATGTATACCATCTGTAACTTACCAGAATAAAAATACTCTGGAAGGTGATGTTTGGTCGACTTACAGCTGCGATCCAAGCGAGCCAACGAGACTTTATGTTTGATTCTTGGTCTCCATGGTTATGCTTCCAAGCAGGAAACTGTTGAAAAAGTTGCCCTGCCGATCACGTGTTGCTCCCCACAACACACCAACGATTTACCATGATTGTATAATCTAACCGATCAAATGAGTAATAGGTTAAATGAAGCCTCAAGAACGACACTGAGTGTGCTGTTGTCAGTAGTAACGAGCAACAAGTAAGGAGTCGTAGGCCGCCAACATGGCGGCCGTGTCGCTGATGGAGACACGATCATGAGCCCTATAGAACAGTTATTTCTTTATCAATTTGATGCCTAAATTAGGACAAATTAAAATTAATTTTGAATGCAGTATGACACTAATTGCACTTGTGAGCTTTTTAAACTTGATATAAACATATTCACTTTCCTCACATCTTCTGAACCAGACATCTTTTACAACTATTTTGCTGGCAGATCATTTTGATTTTATATGCAAACGTTCCTATGTATTTTAAAATGTCGGCCTACAGCTCGCATAAACTCATTACTTTCAAAAGCATCAGCAGCACCTTTCTTTCCAGGGGTAATTTGCAGTTAGATGATCCACAGAGGACTGTGAGCGCTAACAGCACTTTCCTGCCCTGTAAATTGTTCTCATGAAAATAGATGGAGAACCATTTACTGTTATGTGCCTGGAGCCACTGTTAGTAAAAATAAATATATTTTAGATGAGGAAATCTTCATGTGGTGTTCAAAGCACTTTTTGTGATCTATGTGTAGAAATGATGCAGTTTGGACCTTTGGTGGACATACAAGATGTGAATCCACATATTCTGACTGCATCTCTCTGAATGTAAAGTGCTCTTGTCCCTCTCTCCTTAGCTCAGGTATCGCTGTGAATAGGTCTAATCTCCGCCTGTCACTCCGACCCACTCTGTACATTAATTAGACTGCATGCTGCACCAAGCTGCTGCTTCTCCCATCAGCAACCCATTCCACAGGCAATCTCTCCATCGCCACAAGAGGCTTTTCATTAACGCAGCCAGAGGCGTTTTATCACTCACACAGCGACCCCTCTCTTTCTCCCCCATCACCCTACCCTCCTTCTCTCCATCTAACTCTCCTCACCCCTCCTCATTCTCCATCGCCTTCATCATTGCAGCCATGAGTGAGCGAGGGAGGAAGGTGTAGACGGAGGCAGCAGCATTTCTTTGGCGCAGTGTGAAAGCTCAAGATTAGAGAAATGGTTGGTGTGGGACATGAGGCAGCAGGCTGGAGGTCACAGAGGTCATGATGGAAACTAGTCACAGCTGATCCCCCGGCAATTTCTCAAGCAAACCCGTTTAGAAGTTGGAATTTAAAATAGATTTCTACAATGTATTAAAACAAAGAGAAGAGTTTTGTTTAGTTTGAGTTCAAGATGCAGTTGAACTTTTTCAGGAAATGGACCGTTCTGTCGTGGTTGTACTTGAATGCAAATTAATTCTAATAATTGTATGATGAAATCCCTAGAAGTACTAGTTATTTGTGATTCAAGACACGTACTAGTGCAGGGGCTATTTCTATGATGTCATTAAATTCAGACACCAGAACAGTTGTGATGCTGCTGTTTTCTCATATATATAAAAAGACCGAAAGAAAGTCGTTAAAAACTTAAAACCTTGATTGAGAACAAGGCAAAAATTAAGACACTTTTCAGGGTTTATTTGTTTTACACGTCATATGTAAGCATGAAGTAGAATGACCTCCTGTGGTCAAATATGGGTAATGCAGGCCTTTTTTCTAAGCAAAAAGTTACTTTCTCACTGCCGTTCCATGGGTTTCATGGCTGTTGCTGGTTATGGATCAGTGCTAGAAGATTCTAGATAACAAGCGAAGATGAGTCATACACAGTAAGTTAATAAGTAGATAAATGCATGGTCATTTCTGGTGCTAGCACTCTTGGGTGTTTTACTGTAGGGAGCACTTACTACACTTAATATGGTAATGTATCTCTGGAAGACAAATATAGTGTTGGAGGAAGTGGGTTTGGGTGGGGTTAGGGTTAAATACAATTGGTCACATACAGGCGTCGTCGTCGTCGTCTTCCTCCGCTTATCCAGGTCCGGGTCGCGGGGGAAGCATCCCAACTAGGGAGCTCCAGACCGTCCTTTCCCCGGCCTTCTCCACAAGCTCCTCCGGCAGGACCCCAAGGCGTTCCCGGACCAGATTGGAGACGTAACCTCTCCAAAGTGTCCTGGGTCGACCCGGGGGCCTCCTGCCGGCAGGACATTCCCGAAAACCCTCCCCGGGGAGGTGTCCAGGAGGCATCCTGACCAGATGCCCAAACCACCTCAACTGGCTCCTTTCGATCAGGAGGAGCAGCGGTTCTACTCCGAGTCCCTCCCGAAGGTCCGAGCTCCTCACCCTATCTCTAAGGCTGAGCCCGGCCACCCTACGGAGGAAACTCATTTCGGCCGCTTGTATCCGCAATCTCATTCTTTCGGTCATTACCCAAAGCTCATGACCATAGGTGAGGATTGGGACGTAGATCGACCGGTAAATCGAGAGCCTGGCTTTCTGGCTCAGCTCCCTCTTCACCACGACAGATCGGCTCAGCGTCCGCATCACTGCAGATGCCGAACCAATCAGCCTGTCGATCTCCCGATCCCTCCTACCCTCACTCGTGAACAAGACCCCGAGATACTTAAACTCCTCCACTTGAGGTAGGACCTCTCCCCCGACCCGAAGTTG